AAGATGCAGGACAGGCAGAGACACTATGGGTGAAAAGGACCAAAAACAGCCTGTGGACCAAACCTAAATCTGAAAATGGTATTTGATACCTGGACCTCTCCCCTTTAGCCAGGCTGGGTCAGGACAGCTAGACAGTCGTTGTCTGATTGATTGTGCAGAAAAGGAGAAGAGGAGAGCAGTTGCCATGGGGACAAGGAGAAAGACCTTTTTCCTTTTTTTTTTTTTCGAGGACCAGTAATTGGTGATAAACTTGAGGGGAGGGGTTGGGGGCTGGTACTCAGATGCAGCTAAGCACGCCAGCTTTGCAAGCCTGAAGAAGTGCTGCAGGACTCAGGAAGTGTGCGAGTGTGTGATAAAAGTCAAAATGTGTGTGTAATAAACATAGGCATGTGAGAGAAGATTGAGTGCGTGTATGCATGAGTGTTTGAATGTTTCCCAGGCAGCTGGTGGTGACTGAGGACAAGGTGTTAATGAAATGTTTTAAAGGAAACTGTTCAGATGAACTGCGTCCACCTGAGAGATGCTCCACGCGTGCTGGAGAACATCGAACCCTTTTAGGATCACAAACATTCGTTCCAACTCCATTTTCATTTGCTTCAGGACTACAGAACTAGGAAATAACAGGACTTGCTGGGGAGTGTGTGTGTTTGCTTTGTGCAGGGATTTGAGGGTGCTGCTTTAAAATACATACATACATTTTTGCTGATGCTGGATACAGTTTGCCTCCTTAAATCTTACTCCTTTCTGTTATGTCCTGTTATGTGTTTGCGCGGATTGGTGTAATATTTATGAACTGTGGAATCACAGATGACACATTTTGAAACAGTTAGGGACAAAACAAATCTCACCACATGGTCATTTAATAACCATTCTAGATCTTTCTAAGATTAAAATCTTCCTCACTTTGTGGAGTTTGGAGTGGAGTCAAATTTCCATTTCCGTGACCACTACTACTTTTACTGTAAAAGAGATAAAAATCTCTGTTTATGGTATGTATGTCTCTGCTGCTGTTATTACTGTTTGACATTATGCATTTCCAATGTCTCTACAGTTCATCTGTTATTTCAGACACTGTTAGGGGCAAATGCGGTTAGCGGCAGTGAGTGTTGTGGGGGTGTAGTATCAGCAACTCTCCATCAGGTGTGAATGGAAAAACTACAGAACTAGAGATGATATAAAGCAGATGGCTTTAGAAACCTCAAGTCACTGAGTTCTGTATGGAAACCCACATTTGATACAATATAATTCAATTTAAAAAACCTAAATCATCATCAATACTCCTATTTCAATTTCCTGTTTACATATGAGCCTTAATTCTAACAGCACAGTCTAGATTGGCTGCAGGCCTACCGCATTAACATCAATTTAGTATTATGTACTGTACCTGACTTCAAGACGTTAATGTTCTAACAGCATTCATTAATTAAGGTCTTATGTAAACATAATTTAGCTCATTTCGCTTCTGTTTTGTTCATTAGCTATAAACTCTCTGGGGGTGAACTCCCATTGCTCATCTCTCCTGCTGCTCTTATCTCATCACATTGTTTGGTACTGACAGTGATGAAGATATGACAGAGGCTTGCAACCCTCTTAAAACACTTTGAGGTGAAAAACATTTTTACTGTATCTCAGTCCAAATGACAATGTCAGCCACACATCGGACCATAAAAAGTACAGAGAAGAGTTTAACATGTTTACACAGTAGTCAGTGAGACAAGCCTCGTGTAGCATCATAACCAAACATACTTCACTTTATTACTATTTTTAGAGGAGAGATGAGCACAGCCTACTGGTTTATTTAGGTGTAACATTAAATAAAATACAGAACGAGCTTACACAGTGATGCCTTCATAGTCAAAATGCTGCTAGGATCAACACCTTTGATGTGATCGGTGCTCGCTTGGGTGGTTTCCTTGACAACAAAACAGGAGATCTGGGCTTCGGAGGCTGAAATGCTTTTTGTCTGGGACCAAAAAGCCAAAAATATGTAATGAATATAAATTGAACAAATATCTGCAGAACCTGTCTAAAGTGGTGGATCAGAAAGTTTTACGGGGGGTGACAGCTGGTTCTGTTAGGGTGAGCGAATGCAGGACACAGAGTAATTATCCAAATCTGGAGTGACGCATCATGCAGCTTCACATTGCAGATGAGCGTAGAAGGTCTAATGAAGGACAGATAAATATGATTTATAAGTTCCACTCTACATTAAGTTGAAAGCAGCTGTAGTGCGTGATTAATGAGTAATGTAAACAAGCCAAGCATTATAGCAGGTCAGGGTGTTAAAGACCACTGAACAGTACTTTTAAGAGCCAGTCCTAGCTGACATTGGGCAAGTGGCGGGGTACACCCTGGACCGGTTGCCAGTCCATCACAGGACTGATAACATCTGTGTTTAAGCTCAAAATGTTTCAGTTTTTGCTGAAACTGTCATAAATGTATAAAATCAATTTTAGGTATATTAAGGTCATAATTAAAGGTAGTATTATACTGGACTACATTATATTCAAAGGTGTTCCTAATATTCTGACCCTCTTATCTATGTAGCTAGGGAGAACAAAAATATACAAACACTTATTATATTATAAACATTTACTACCCAGTGTGACGAGGACTGTAGGTGTGGTGGGGTACCTGAGCTTCTGTGAGCCACTATAAGTCCATCCACTGCATGATTCAGGAGACAAAAATGAAAACAGGTGCACTCTATCTCTGAGCAAACCATGACCACAGCGTTTCATTATGGACTCAAATAGACACAGACTTTCCATTGCTGACTCAGTTCAAGCTGAACTTCAGCTAAAAGAAGCTTCCACATCTGCTGATGCAAAGCAGCATGTGGAGGAAGCCAATTCCGGTGTCACTCACGCTGTTCTTGCTGCTGTGTGCTCTGAGTGGAAATGAAGAAAATTGGCTCCCACAGGTGGATGTCCAGATTTCTGTGGGAGGCTGGCGGCTGCCATCGTCCCTCCCATTGTTTCATTATTTCAGGACATGTGACACACTGTGCTCAATGAAAATTTGTTTTATTTTTGGGAGCTGGCAGGTCCTGCCAGTTGGCGTGCCTTGCCACCTTGTAGGTTTTGACTATAACTCTGTCTTCCATTCATGGCCCTTCTCTGAACCACACACATCCGTCTTCAACCCTCTGCTTTATGCAATTGCAGCTATGATCTTATGGCTGATCGGCGTATGTATATGTACATATATATAAAGGGTGTGTGTAGCATTAATTAGGCATACTAGCAGTGTGGCTCCAGGGATGACCATGGTTACTCTGTTGTTCCACCATTGTGGTCCATACACAAATCGCACAAATATTCAGGATGAATGGTAATAACTATGGTGATTTTCTGACATGGTCAAAAGTATTCAGACCCTTTGTTCAGTACTTAGTAGAAGCAGCCTTTTGAGCTAATACAGCCATGAGCCTTTTTGGGAATGATGCAACAAGTTTTTCACACCTGCATTTGGGAATCCTCTGCCATTCCTCCTTGCAGATCCTCTCCAGTTCTGTCAGGTTGGATGGTAAACGTTGGTGGACAGCCATTTTCAGGTCTCTCCAGAGATGCTCAATTGGGTTTAAGTCAGGGCTCTGGCTGGGCCATTCAAGAACAGTCACGGAGTTGTTGTGAAGCCACTCCTTCGTTATTTTAGCTGTGTGCTTAGGGTCATTGTCTTGTTGGAAGGTGAACCTTCAGCCCAGTCTGAGGTCCTGGGCACTCTGGAGAAAGTTTTCGTCCAGGATATCCCTGTACTTGGCCGCATTCATCCTTCCCTCGATTGCAACCAGTCGTCCTGTCCCTGCAGCTGAAAAACACCCCCATAGCAGGAGGCTGCCACCACCATGCTTCACTGTTGGGACTGTATTGGACAGGTGATGAGCAGTGCCTGGTTTTCTCCACACATACCGCTTAGAATTAAGGCCAAAAAGTTCTATCTTGGTCTCATCAAACCAGAGAATCTTATTTCTCACCATCTTGGAGTCCTTCAGGTGTTTTTTTAGAAAACTCCATGAGGGCTTTCATGTGTCTTGCACTGAGGAGAGGCTTCTGTCGGGCCACTCTGCCATAAAGCCCCGAC